TAAAAATACTTGAAGACTGAACTCAGGAGTTTTTGAGATTCGTTACACTTTTTTCAATTTTATTGCTGAAGAACAACAAAAAAAAAATCAAAAACCCAAACCAAATTCTAAGCAAAATTTGCTGTGCTTGATAGGTACGTTGCTGTCTGAGTTGGAGTTTGAGCAGTGTGTTTTACAGGAGGACAAGCAGAAGGGTAATTTCTAAAATGGCTGCAGCAAGGTTCATCAGAGTTCTTCTACCAAAGAACTCTAAATTACCCAAAGACTCCTTATGACTACATAAGTCAAAACCGACACCTTAAACCTGAACCAGAAATCAATTGGTAGCTAGTTTAGGTCAGGAAGCACAAAGATAATAGTCTGTAGTTGAGAAATAACCACTTGTGCACAAACTGCATTTTATGTTGCAACTGTGTGATATAGCCCAACCTGAAAATAACAACAGTGTGAACAAAAGTAGTGAAGTCTGCTGGAGTTAAAAGTTAGCAGCAAGTGATAAAAGGCATGAATTGCACAGTTGCTGTGACTGAGAAATATTTGCTATGCTAATGGCAAGAGAAGCAGTGATTTTTAAGTTAATTAGATTCAGCTTTTCTTTTGATAACATTTGGCGTACAGAGCAGGTTACCTAAAGGTGCAATTATAAACCTCAGTAGAGAGGTTCTTATGGAGAGCAGGTAACCTTATGGAAATTACAACACGTAATTCATCACAGTTAATGTGAGTTTGGACTAGCTGACTGGAGAGGTCTCACTCATATGCAATTTGATAACAGGTTCCCATTGTCAGTAAAAGTTTATTCAAAAAAGGGAGGTTATAATATGCTTATTAACTCTCTTCCACCTATAAATCAGATACTTTTTTTTTTAGTTAAATGCCTAACATGTAATTTACAAGCATCTTGAAAACATATTTTAAAAGTGCATATAGTTCTTAATTATCCATGGTAGTCTTAATATTTTAAACTAACATTTTTAAAAATAATTCGCAATGTATTTGTAGTATATCAACATCCATTCGAGAATTAATTTCTTTTGTTCTGTGTTATCTTCTTTCTGATTTTCTTTAACGTAAACCTCAAAATTGAGCAGCTTTAACTACGTTATAGACATTTGGGTTCTAACATAATTGAGGCATTGAGAGCTGGTTAGACTTGTATTTAAACAAACTTCTCCTATGCTGTAATGCTGTTCTGCTTGTATTTGTAATATTAGAAAGACATTGGTCTTGGCCTTAATTTGTTATGATACATCTGAGAGATCTTTATCTAGTCTTTGGTTACATGGTCTCATGTTATTTTTCCATCCTACGTTCTGTATTGAGTGCATCATGCTCGCTGGAGGAGTGTTTGCGTAACGTTATGCTTTGTCCCCGTTGTTTCAGTAGAAGGCTCCATGTTTTGTCTATTGTATTATGTCCCACTTGGAAAACAAAGCGATTCCCCCCACCCGTGGAATTTTGTCTTGTGCTCAAGTATTTTCACAGGTGTAGGAGATAAGGAGGTGATATTTTTCCCAACTTACACATGAGGAACTGAGGCAAGGCAAAGGTGTAGACAGAAGTACATAGAAGTACCTGCTAACTTTAGGAATTCAGCATGAAACATTTGGGCACTGATTTTTCAGAATATTTAGCACTTTCTATCTTGAAAGCAAAGGATTGACTTCAGTTTCCCTGTAAGTGCAAGTGGAGCAGTAGAGATCAGACGGGTCTATGTGCTGCTCTTTAAGGTATATGAAGCTGTATCGCTGCGCAGCTGTTACTGCCCTTTTAGTCTTTTACTCACTGTTGAGCTGTTGCAAGGCTAGTGATAACTAGCAGAAAGAAGGGATGAGAGAAGCCTCCACTATGAATAATGTGTTTTTTTTCTGTTCTAAAAGTAAATTAATACCTCATCTGACGATACTTGGAGAAACGTGTTACCACTGACTTCCTGTCCTCCAATTTTAAAAAGTGTTTATCTAGCATCTCATAGAACCCCTGCAATACAGATAGGAGGGTGATCCAGTATAATGCCCCAAACCTATTTGTTTACCTGAATTTGTGAGCTAAGCCTTTCTTCTACTTTTTTAACCATCTCATGCCTCATATGCTGTGCACATTAGAGATGATGCAATGAAGAAGGCAGGAACAGGTCAGGCTGTGTTATCCTTCATTGCGTAATCCTGATCGATCCATTAATCCATGATTTGAACGAGGCATAGCTATTTTTATTTTTTTTTAGAGAAAGTATGACACATAATATTATCATACTCTAAGGCATATGCACAAAGAGGGCAAGCTGAAGATTATAGGCAACTTTCTCTGTCACTTTCTAAATTGAATGCTAGATTATTTTTACCCTTAGTGCTCTTTTAACATTGAGGCTTCTTTTATGTATGTAATAGCTTTCACTTTTTTAAAAAAAGTAAACTGCAACTGAATTTAGGGATCTTGGATTTGTGTGTGCATGTCTCAGTGTAGCTCTGCTTGTAGATGAGTCTTAAAACCATTTAATAGTTCTGTCAAGGGTTTGTGTTTTACTCTGCCTCCATGTTCCCAGGGCGGAGCAGCAGCGATTCTCTCTGCTTCCTCTTACGTCTACATCAGTGGCACTTAGCTTGGCGTGCTGTTAGGGTGCTTAGAATGCTTGTCCTGTTTTGCAATTGTGCAGTAAGTCAAATATGGGTAGAAAACCAAAACTGCTGAAGTGTTTGAAAAATTTCCAGACATTTAGCAATGAGCTTCAGAATCATTCTTCGTGGCCAGGGATCTCCTGAACCTATTGCCGTTTATGTGTTTACTAGTCTGCAGTGAATCTGAGTTTTTCTTCAGTCTCTTCTGGAGTTCATGTGAAATTCTCGCATCCACTGGTCCTATTATGAGGAATTCGGCACATCTGTGCTACCTCTTGCATGGAAAAATATTTTTACATTTTATATTATTTTAAACCAGATTCTGACTAGCTTTGTCATGCAAGTCCCTACTCCCTGAATTCGGGCTTATCACAAGTTATTTCCACGTTTTCTGTCTTCCTGCCTGAGATTTTTTTTTTTATTTTCGCATTTCCCCGATTCCCTTTGCAGCTTGTCAGCTGGTGTATCTCTTCCAACCTCTTGCATTCCCACCATTTTACTCAGTGATTGCATCACAGTTTGGATTTCTGTGTCCAGTAAGTCCTTAATTATCCTGAATCTCTCTTCCTGCTTGCTAATGCTTATTTTGGTATAAGAAGTGACCTCAAGCCTGATGCATGGTCCCTCTGCATGGGAGTCAGGCAGCTTCTTCCCCTGTGCTGAACAGGGCATGGGCTTCAGTGTCTCTTCTGGTATGTGGATCTAATTCCCATGTGAATATTCATTTTATGCAGAATCTCTGGGGAAATAGGTTGCAAGACCTCTTGCTGATTTCGTTGAGTATGTGCGAAATCTCTTAGATGCTGTAACGAATTGGACTGGGACCTCCTTGGAAGGAGGAAGGAAATTCTTCCTTCTCCTGGGCGAAGACTACTGGCCATGGCCAAGGGGTTTGTCTCTGGAGAACTCGGTGTTGGCAGCTGAATTGCAGAGAGATTGAGAGACTACAGGTTAATAAAAGGAAGCAGTGAGCCAGGCCTCAGAGGAGGACCAAAGGCCACCTAGGAACCAGAAGGGGGACCATGCAGAGCTGCCTGCACTGCAGAGTTGCTAGGTCGCCTGAAATATGCCTGGAAATACGGATTTGCCATTAAGGATGCAAAGTGGGAGCTTTATTTAATAAAGCCTTTCTTTGTTCTCTCTCACCTAGCTGTGATTTCCCCCCCCCCCCAATTAATTATCCTACGTGGTAGTCTGATGAAATCCTGAATTTTTTTCTTTAAAGAAATTCTGAAATTCCTTTCTTTTTTTTCTTTCTGAGTTGCTCCAGACACATGCATATTCTAGCTGTCATTTTAGTGGATGCTGGAATGTTGTGGATGGATTTTCATGGGGTGGCAAAATGTACACGCCTGACAAAGTTATTCCAAATTCGATATTTTTGATCCCAAAACATGGAGCTGTAAAAAATTTCTGAAAAACAAGCTTTCCAGAATTTTGTTACCCATGAGCTAAGTCATTTTGGCTGTTAGAGAAGAGAAATTAGGAAAAAAGTGATCCGAGGCAGATAGTTGGCTTGGAAAATTGTATTCGGAAGCTCTGAAATTTTGCAAGATTGTAAGAGCAGAAAGCAGTAATCTCTTACAGCAAAGATCCATAGTCCGCAGCGCAAGTGCCAAGAGCAACAAGTAAATTTGAATAACATGCGTTTTGTGTAATGGGATGTAGGTCTGAGCTGCAGCCTTTTGAGGAAAGTATGTGAGATGTTCTTGTTCCCAGCTCCTGGCTTTCTCTTGGTTCTGCACCGATACACGGGCAAGACGCTACTGTTAGGTGATCAGTGGTGTCTCGGTTTGCTCCGAGTTTCCACAAGCACGTACGGCTTCTAATTTGAGAAACAAAAGTAGGCTGGCGCACACTTTTACAGATTGTCCCTAAAAAGGGAAGTGTCGGGCAGCTTTGATAACGAGTTTGCTCCCGTCTTTGCATATTGCTCCTTTATATGTTCTAAATTTCAAAGCAAGTTTTTAATTTAGTTCTGTGTTCAATAGCTTAAAATAGACGCTGAAACTGCTTTTAAATGGGATCTATTGTTAATGTAAAAAGCTGTATCAAAACTAGTGGATATAATGAAAAATACAGCCCAACTTTGTAACATAGTGACTTTTACTAAATAAGGGAAATAAAACTAATTTAATTTACTGTGAGTTGGCTGTCATCACTATATTAAAGGTTATACCGGTATTTATGAAAAGTTGCTATCTCAGTAATTTAATTGACTTAACAACCTAAGCCTATGTAGGGGTACAAAGTTCAATATTACTTGTCTTGAAAAGAGCAAGTTCTGGGTTTGAAGCTGTTTAAAATGCTACTCTAACAACAGCAGTTAGAAACAGGAATGCTAAAATTAACAATTTAGTCATGCTAATTGATTGTATTTTGCAGGTAGGTTGTGCATTCTTAATTATATGGTTTTTAATAAACTCTCTGCTATTGGTTTTGTGTAGATCGTCCTTTGCAGGCTGGAAGTGCCAAGTGCAGGATAATTCAGTGAATGATGTGGACTATTTCAGCTTCTTGTTTTCAACCCTTATAGGTAATCCACGTGAATGTCATAATTCACAAAATGAAATTTGTTTTGATAGCCAGTTGCTGCATTTAATTTAGAATAAATGGTGTAGTAAGTACTTCCTGAAAGTAATTCTAAACTTGTTACTTTTTTTCTATGAGACACTTTTTTTCTCTTGATCTGATTTTTGAGCAGTAGTCTTGTTTTACTAAAACATCTAATACCTGGCTAGAAATAATTAGCCAAATGATTTGTTTTTTTTTTTCCCCAACCCTGACGTTATGTTAGAAGGTTACTGAGTTCTTGTGAACACATAGTGAACTGTCTTGTATTATACCTGTTTTTTTTCATTTTGTAAAGATACATACGTTGAAAATAGCAGCATAATGTGGGCCTCTTACAGTTTTTATAGCACATTATAGTTTAAATGGGTATACCATTGACTTTTCAAATATTTTTTTCTTTCAGAAGTCAGAATTTGTATTTTGATATATGTAATTTAAAATACCAAGCAAGAGCTTTTAACAAAAAAATGTTATGCAGACATAATTTAAAAGACAGTTTTTGTTAGTGATGCTGTTGAAGTAGAACAGTGCTTGGCTTGTTTCGTGATACTGTTGTACTGCTTCTTTTTCTCTAGGGTTTTCAAGAGAGGAGTTGACTAGTCTCCAGGGCATTAGAGGAAAGCCACACATTAGCCAGACACAGCTTTCACCTGTCCGTCTTTACCTAACTGATCTGGACCAGTTTTTACACCACTGGGCTGTGACAGAGGTAATACATCAACACTAATTCTAAATGACAGCATACAAACTCCGAGTGCTCTCCGTCCCTTTTCTGCAGATGCCTAAATCTTGTTGTGAGTTGAGTTGAAAAAAGGATGAAAAATATAATAGCTGTTGAACAGCCAATGTTTTTCTGTAGCCATCAGATAATATTTTGAAGGAAGCTGCTTTAAAAGGTGAATGTTCAGACACGTAGTATGCAAAACAATACTCATGGGAAAAAATGGGTAGAAGCCTTGGTGGAAAATTCTTAAATGCTAATAAGATTAAGACCAGCGATATGTTTTGGCTTTCAAAAATAAATTAATTGTAAAAATAGTAATTATGAAGAGTTTTCTTGGAGAGTAAATTCCACTGTTAATTAAAAAGCACTTGCATTAAATGAGATTTGAACTTGGAAGTAAAATTAAGTTGGCGTTGGTGGTTATTTAGAATAACTTCTGATGCTTATTTAATCAAAATTTACTGGGATTAGAAACTTCACTCTGAATTCAGTTCCTGCTCCTGAGAACTGAAAGCTTAATTTGATTGCTGGTTCTAAAGGGATCTGAGCCACCCGATTTTATTCAGAACAGGTGCACGTTAGTCTTCATTCTAGGTCAACTCTTTTTGTTGCTTAGCCCACCATAAACTACTTTTTAAGGTGTGAAATCATGTTTTAATGACATGCCAGTTTGGCAGTATTTATGAAATCCTGTCATAAATACAGAAAGAAGAGTGTAACAGAAGTTTTTAGTTGTATGATTTATTCTGGGTTTTCATGGCTTTGTGGTTCAAGAAAGCAGTATAGTAGCTTTTTCTCTTCCAAATCATAAAGTTTAAGTGATAATCTACTGAAACTAATGATAGTCCAAGGTGCATGTTGCACGTGGGCTATTATGTATTGAATAGTATTTTAAGCAAAGTTGTTATTTGGTACCATGACTGACACACATCTTTAGATGTCCTGCCTTCAGTCAGTTGGCCTGTGGAGCAGCTAAACTTTTTTCCTAAGTTGTTTCACTTTGTCTCTTCTGGGCAGTAACGATGTGTTTTTCTCACCAAAACACATTTCTCCAGTATTGAAAGACTAGAATGTTTTCTGTCCCTGTCCTGTACAGAACACAGGATTGTTCCTCTGTGAATGCACCGGAGAGATTACTTGCAAGTGTTTCTCAACGAGTTAGCATAATCGCATACATCTGAAGGATTTATATATACTTTACCTGCTTCTGAAAATGCCACCCCTCACGTCCTCTTTCTTTCCTCTTTTTGCTTCTCTTCCACAAATCTATCAAAGCTGGTTGAGAAACCACACGATAGGAATGTTTTCACTTGGGGAAGGTGAAGTAGTTTGATTGTAGGTATCTTGTTTGTGCCTTTGGTTACTGGTTGCAAGTTTGATTTACTTCTCCTCCTGCCACAATCTTTTCAGTGTTTTGGTGCCATCAAGGAGAGTTATTACTTTTCAGAAAGTTGAGACTTGCTTTTGTTAAGTACCTTTTCTTGGGAAAGATACAAGGTGCTCTCTCAGGTTCTCAGAAGTGGATGGCAGTCGTTAAGCAAAGAGCCGGATACCCTTGGTTAGCAATGAAAGAGGATTTGGGCATCCTGTGGAGCATTGCACTACTTCTGCAGTTACATGTCAGCCTGAAGTCTTTTCTGGAGATTAAGTTATGAAGAGAGAATGGGAACAAAAATCCCACGCATCAAAAATCTGTGTGTTAAGAGCGATGAGATTTTTCTAGACCGACCTCATTTTGTAGACTGTTAATCAAAGGGAGTTCTGGACTGCTGCTTACAACTCTGAACTTGAGAAGGAGATTGGAGGCTTTTCCTTATAAGCTATGTTGATGAATGACTGTGGAGAGGAAGTTTCTAGTAAACTGGGTTATATCGAATGCGCCTAGGATGTGATCAGGAGCAGTCAACAAGGATTTATGTAGTGCAAATTGTGCTCAACCAGCCTGTTGGCTTTCTGCAACAAGGTGACTAGCTTGGTGGGTGAGGGGAGAGCAATGGATGTCCACTTAACAAAAAAAATCAGATGTTTAGGCTTTTAGATAACTCTGTGTTTAAATATCTAATACGGTGCTGTGTTCATTAAGTTTTAGGGGGTTTCTCTTTTCCTTGTTGAGCACCATTCTCCAACCTCAAATATGTTGACCTATATTCTATTTCATGTTCAATTTGTAAAGAAAACATTCTGGGGACTGTAGTCCATAAAAACTTTGGGATTTGGAAGCTGGACCGTTTTAAAGAAAAGTGTAAAAAAAAAAAAAAAAATCCTAGCTTGAGAAAAATCTTTCAGTTCAACATTTGCCAAAGTTGCACAGGAATACTTTTTGTAGAGCAAGTAGTTTTCACCGGGTGTTGAACAAGCTACTCTCAAAAGAAAATAAACCAGACAGCAACAGAAACCCCCCAAACCCAGAGCTGCATCCTCTGGGGAGAAGAAAACTGCCAGCAAATCATGAGCCTCTTCTAGGATGGCTTGAAAGACAGCGTGATACGGTAGCTCTGTGTGCATTGAGTTGAGGGAGGTAGGTTTGGAGACCGCTTTCTTCCAAGTGGACATAGTTCAAGGTATGACACAATTTTGGAATCAAAATATTTTTAGCTGTGACAGTAAATTATTTTATTTAAATAAAGAAGTGCTACAGGAAATAATAAAATGCTTTTAGTGGAACTGAGTAGAGCGGCACGGCTTCTGAATGCCGAATCTTTCATGCTTTCCCTTTCTGGACAAGGAAGTTCATGGTGATGCTGTAATTTTAAGCAAAATATTTGTAGTAATTTAAAATACCTAGTATGTGAGGACAGCCCTCTGTTGGCTGCAGAGCAGGCAGCATTCAGGCCTCTACTTTATGTTGAGAATTGGTCATTTAAAAGAGTTCTCATTGTGTAGTTGTAATTTGGGTTTTCCTCATAACGGAAGAATACTTTATTGTGGATGAAAATAAATAAGGAACTGATGGAATTATGATTTGACAGCCTGGTTTCCTATGAATAAATGAGACTAGTGATCAGATTATTATTATTAGTCCATCCATCTTCCTCTTTCTTCTCTTCCACCACTAGTTTTGTCTAAAACACTGGCTAGTTTTTGGTTCTCTGCTAAAAGAATAAAGTTGCAAATACCAGTTGCCCATAAGTTTTATGAAAATGAGCAGGTGGAAGAGAAAAAACTCTAGATTAGCACGAGGCAGTTTATAACTCGGTTTCTGCATCCTGCTTGGCCGCAGCCAGCTGGGCAGCCTGCACGTGCATCACTCTGGACCAGGCTCAGCAGGTGCTGTCACTTGGCCCACAGGGGTATCAGGGGTTGTGGGGCAGGAGCAGCTGGGGCTACGGTGCTGAGGAAGCAGAAGGGGAAGGGATGAAGGGTCCCAGGCCTGAGTCTGTAGGAGGCCACAGCTTGTTGGCGTTATTGCTTGCTGCTCGACTTTGTTTTCAAATCCAGAGGGAGGCAGTCCCAGCTTTCTGTCACTAGCAAGCTGTACTGTGCAGTGAGTGGTATGTATTTCTAATGGTATTGAACTGTAAGAGGGAATTTAAAGTATAACATATACATACCAGAGGTGCGGAAGGAGAAAAGAGGTGCCTCTGGAGAAAGAGCAAGTTGTGTACAGGAAGAGAATAACTTGAGGCTTTTTCAAATGGCAGTTTGGACTTTTGGAGTGTGTTACTATATAACCAGTGCAGGTAGTAGTATCTGTCTAACCGTAATTGGTGAAAAGGCCAAACAAACGCACTTCTGATAGGGGTTAATGCTTTTAAGTGGTTTGTAACAAAAACTGTTTTGAGATGGATGCTGCTTGTAGCTTTTTTGTCTAGAGAGTGGTAATTGGTACAGTGGAAGTCTGAAGCCATGTTATTTTTTTGTGGAAACTTTTAGGTAATGGTGATTTTCACTGAAGGAGCAATGCTTAAGAAAAGCGTCCCTTTAAATGCCATTTTGCGTAGCTGTAAAGGTTAATCTTCACATTTTGTCTAAAAGATATGTTGAATGTGGAAGCCTGTTCTGGAGCAACTTCTACTTAAAATGACTTCTGCCTTATTGAAGCCAATTATTTAAAATCATACCTCTGTAGCTGAAATAAATGGGGCTCCAGAATAAATGGTTGCAGCCTTAGGGAAAAGGCTTCAGTCTTTGTTCATTTTAACTGTGCCTATAGTGTTTGTCAGTAATATTGTTCACTCTCCTGTAATCGAATTGCTCTGCTAGTATCAAATGAAATAGCGCCAACAGGAATGAAGAGTTTAACAAGGTAACAGTGTATACATGATAATTTCTGTTGTTGTAATATTTGATGTTCGTGACACTTGAACATTTTGGAGGGGGAAAGCAAACGATAATTTGAAAGTTCTGCTCGAAGTTGAGATTCTAGAGTTATACTGAGCATATAACTGCCTTGAAGAAATAAAATACTCAATGTTTAAAATGTTTAAGAGCAAACACTAGGGAAGGTCAGCTGCTTTTAAAAGCAGTCTTGAATTCAAGAACCTTGGGACACATATAATGTAATATACTAATGTGTATCAAAAACAGAGAAGCCTTATAAGTGAAATAGAGTTGGGAATGCTGTATCTGCACCGATACGCTATGGAAAATTACGACAAGTCATTAAAGATAGTAAGTCAATGCATGTAAATTAAAAATCCTGCAAGGATGTTTGTCTTGAGAAGTAAATGGTGGTGTTGCAGTGCTGAAGCTTAACTTTAAGCAGAGATTAAAACTTAAAAAAACCACTAAATTTTTAAAAAGAAGTCTTTTGAGTTGAAGTTCCTGTAAGATTTCAACTTGTGGTCGTTATTGAGATTCCCAGATTAGAGGTACATTGGGGAGAAAAAGCAGCTGAGGGTAAACAGTATCCCTTCTGAACTAGAAATATGCTGTAATTTTTACCCTCTTTAAGGACAATAAAAAAATTCTGTGTAAGCCCATTAGTGTTTTGTAAAACTACATTGTATCCAAGTTTAATGTTTAGAAATGAAAAGAATGGGTTT